CATCTCAGGGCTGAAATCCTGGAAGCACCCCTAGGAATCCCTAATTCTTTCCACAAGTATTTATGGAGCATTGGCTCCAGTCAGGCCCCGTCCTGGGCTGTGGAGACAGACCCAGGCCCCGCCCCCCTTTCAGGACGGGGGGGGAAAACAATAAGCCAGTGACAGTCAAGATGGATGCAGCTGGTGGCAGGTGCCCTGAAGGGGTTAAAGCAGGGAGGCAGGAGGGCAGCAGGGGGCTTGGAGGAGGCCCCCAGTGAGGCATTTAAGCGAAGGCAGAGAGAAGAGGAGCCCATCACGTGCAGACAGGGTGTGGGCGTGGGAAAGCCTTCCAGGCGGAGGGGACAGAGGTGCAAAGGCCCTGAGGTGGGAATGAGCTTTGAGGGACAGAAAGTGGGTGTGCAGCTGGCCTGTGGGACAGTGGTGTAAATGTCCTGGACCCCTGCTGGGGCTCCCCGTCCTGCCCCCCTCCCCCAACCCTGCAGGGACTACTGGAGGATGCCTGGCTTGGACGGGTTCTGAGATTCCTGAGTGGCCTCCATCGGGCCTGGTTGTCTGTAGTCCCCTTGTCCAGGGGTGAGGAAGTAGCTGCCCGTGATGGCAGAGAAGCAGCACATCTATTTTTAACTTCCTGTCTCTGTACAACTCCCAGGGATCTGGACCCTGACTCTGGGGCTGGATGGTCTGGATTGGGTTTCAGGCCTCACCTCTGGCCTTATTTCCCAGGTAATCCAACCAGGCTGAAACCCGGCCACATTGCCAATGTGCTCAGCAGTGGGGGCAGGTCAGGCAAAAATAACCTTAGACAGGAGAGCAGAAGAGCCCGGCTCCGCTTAGGTGTCCCCAGGCCTTATCCCGGCCCTGGCACCTGAAGCCCCTTTGACTCTGGACAGGGTTGTTTGTTTTTCTTTATTGTGTAATCAAAGAATTCACTTGGGGAGGTAATCTGGTGAGGAAATTTTACACTAAGGTTGAATGACTGCTATAACAAGGCCACATATAATAAATATATAATACTATATTATAACATAAGGCCGTACATAATAAGGTGGGCAGATGAAGAAGAGAGCCAGGCCCTGACACTGTCCCATTCTGCCCTGACTGACAGGCATGGGCTGCTCTTAACCCCTTCCTGCCATCCCTCAGCCGGGTCTCCCCTCCCTCAGGCAGGGACCCTCTTGAGTCAGGAGACCCTGCAAGGTCCGCACCACCTGGGAATTCCTCCACTGGGACGGCTGGGAAGTGTAGGTGTGAAAACCAAGCAGCAGCCCTTGATTTTCAAGGAGAGGAGGCTAGAGAAAGGGGGCAGAGAGGAGGGCTAGACCTCAGAGACATGTATCAGGAGAAACAGGCTAGTACACGTGAAGCACCCAGAGCAGAGCTTGACCTTTGCGAGTGCCGTGCGCGTGTTTGTCATCATCCCTGGGCGTCTAGTACCACCAGATGCAGGAGGAAAGGTGCGCTTACACCCAGCTTTGGGTCCTCACCTGAAACGTGTGCAGTCCGTCCTATTATTTATTGCCCCGCCCCCAGCCCCTCCTACCTCCGGATCCTGCACCTGCAGCAGCCGTACAGCGGGCCTCCGATAGTGTCTCCCAAAGACACCAGGTAGAAGGGCTGGCCCAGCGGCCTCACGTGAGGGCTGGGGCCCGTGGGTCACACGTGCCCATCTGGAAGCTCCTCTGGCGTGCCGGGGGATGTCCTCCCAGAACTGCTGTGACATCCGCTCCTGGAGGTTGCTCCCTGCCCTGGCAGCTGTGGCACTGGGCCAGACATGAAACCTGATTTCGCCACCCGGAGACCGCACATACATCACCGTCCCTGGCGGGGCTGGCCACCACACCTGCTCTGTTGAACCTCAGACAAGAGCACTGGGTTCAGAGCTTCCCCAGGAGCTGGTGCTATCAGGCACAGCCACAGAGCGAGGGCGAGGAAGTTTCCAGGTAGATGGAAGTGGGATCCAGCCGAGGGCACGCATCTGCCGGGGACTGTGGGACTCTGGGAGCTGGCAGGTGAGCGGGGCTCCTGCAGCCCCACCTCCAAGCTGCTCGCCCACCCCACCTGCCTGTCTGCCCGCCTGCCGGGGACCCTAGCCTGTCTGAAACCCGCTTCTCTCGAGGCTGCAGCCCTGCCTGTCCCTGCCAGCCTGCAGGTGGCAACTTTGTGGAGGGTGTGTTCCAAGAGGTGGCTGATGTGGCCTCCGGGAGGGTCGGGGAGGAGGGAGCACAGTCCCTGCCTGGGCTCTGCAAAGTGTCACTTGACATATAATATATGAATAACAGCAACGGCAGGTGCCGGGGTGAGCTCAGTCCCCAGGGCTGCGTGCGCATTACCCAGACTCAAGCATCGCCGGATGGGAGGAACCTTCCCTGTTCACCCTTTACATTCATTATCCTGCCTTTGTTTTTATTCTTGGCACTAGGCACTATCTGATATATAATTTTTTTTTTTTTTGCGGTACGCGGGCCTTCCACTGCTGCGGCCTCTCTCGTTGCGGAGCACAGGCTCCGGGAGCACAGGCTCAGCGGCCATGGCTCATGGGTCCAGCCGCTCCGCGGCATGCGGGATCCTCCCGGACCGGGGCACGAACCCACGTCCCCTGCATTGGCAGGCAGACTCCAACCACAGCGCCACCAGGGAAGCCCTGATATATAATTTTTTAAATTGAAGTATAATTGTTGTACAATATAACTGATATGTACTTTTAAAAATTACCTTATTAACTTCAGCACATATATAGCACTTACTCTTTCCTGGGAACTGCTTGAATCTCTTTACATTTATTAACTCATGTAACTCTCACAGCAACCCTTTCTCTGGTCCCCATTTTATGGATGAGAAAACCAAGGCACAGAGAGGTTCAATAACTTACACAAGGTCACACAGCTTATAACTGGGGGAGCCGGATAGAGACTCCAGCATGTAGTCCGGAGTCTGTGCTTGCTACCACTTCCCACGGTCTCCCCAGCTGGCAGGGCAGCTCACGAGGGCAGGGGTTTTGTCTGTTTTGGTCACTGTTCTACCCCTGGCTCCTAGAATGGCATCTGGTGTATGACAGGAGCTCAGTAAATATTTGTTGAATGAATGACTATCTCATGACAACTCCGTGGGGCAGGCCCTCTTATTATCCTCCTTTTACAGATGAGGAAACTGAGGCTGCAGTAGATTAAATACCTGTGCCCTCTGGGGCTAGAATTTGGACATGGGCGGCTGACCAGGAGCTTGTGTCCCATGAGATGATATGAGTTGTTAGCTTGGTGAGGCCCCTGAGGTTTCCAGGGCGGGGTTCCAGGTCCTTCCTTGATGCAGCATCCTTGGGACCCAGTTCTCAGCATCCCTGGACAAGCCCTGGGATCTGTATTTCTGGCACGTTGGCCTGTAATGTGGCTGTGCATCCATGTTTTGGGGAACCACGGGGTTTGGGGCTTGATGCCCGACAGCAGGGGTGGACAGGACAGCTCTACTGAGTCAACCACAGGACCCTGTGACCGTGTGTGGAATGTGCAGCGTCTGGTTGGCTTGGAAATACAGCCCAGCCACCTGCCAGGCCTCTTGGGGACCAGGGCTTGGCGATGGCCCAGTGGCCCTTCTCCCAGGCCTGGCGAAGGAGCTGGAGCTGTGTCCACTTGCCCCCTGCCCAGCTCTCCAGACCACAAGCCCCCCACCCCTCCCCGCAGACTGTGAACCCTTGAAGGTGGGACTCTGGCCCCTTGGCTCCCATCATGTTGCATGACTCAGAGAAAGCCCCGCTCTGTGAGTGTTGGAATGAATGAATGAGCCTGTGCCCTTGATTTTAGACCCTAAAAGGGCAGCAGACTGTGAAGGGCATCCAGGGACACTCGGAGCTGGGTTTCTAGCAGGAGGATGTCTCCCGAGTGAAGCAGAAATGGTGAACCCCTGAGAAAGTGGTCCTCCTACTGTGGTCTGAGGACCAACAATAGTGTAGAGCCAATGGACCGTCTGCTCCATAGGCTGTCCAGGGCCTGTCCCTTCTCTCTTGTTGCTTGGCCATCCCTGTGGGGGGCCCCAGTGCACATGGTTGAAGCTGGCTCTTCAGTGCATCCGAGGAAGATGAGGAAGGAAGGGGGAGAAGTTCTCTTCCAAGGAAGTGGAATATGTTGACTAACCCAGTACTGGGACATGGGTTTGCCTCAGAATGGATGCATGGGCGTGTGCATGTGTGCATGTATGCGTGTGTGCGTGTGTGTGTGTGTGTGTGTGTGTGTGTGTGTGTGTGTGTGTATGGTGATTTGTCAGGCTACCTCCCTCCAAACTATATGTATAAAGAGCAGGGTTGGGGAGATGCCCCCGAGGGAAATTGAGGTGCTATTAACAGAGGGAGGGGAATGGATGTGGGGCAGGCAAAGCCAACAGGTACCCAACACATGGGTATACCACTGGACTATGATTTGGCCTCCCACGTTGCTTTGCCTGCACAGAGCTTGATGAAGAGCACAAACAGACAGCATCGGCATTTGGGCTGCTTGATTGTATTTCTCACTGTAAGTTAATTTCTCATATCAGGTTAGTGTTATTATTCTTTTTTAAATTTATTTTTTATTTATTTATTTTTTTTTGCGGTTCGCGGGCCTCTCACTGTTGTGGCCTCTCCCGTTGTGGAGCACAGGCTCCGGACGCGCAGGCTCAGCGGCCATGGCTCACGGGCCCAGCCGCTCCGCGGCATGTGGGATCTTCCCGGACCGGGGCACGAACCCGTGTCCCCTGCATCGGCAGGCGGACTCTCAACCACTGCGCCACCAGGGAAGCCCCTATTATTCTTTTAATCCTCAAATCCAAGCCCTCATTTGACAGATGAGAAAACTGAGGCCCAGAGAGTCTTGGCAGCTTTCCTGAGACCACGCAGCTTGGTGGCAGTGGGGTGAGACTCAGCCAGGTCTGCTGACTGCCTGGGGCTCTGGCCACTGTTCCCAAAGTGCCTGCCCCTGAGAAGGGCTTGGTCCAGACCCCTGCTCTGACCACGCCCCCCCCATCCCTTCTCACAGAAAGTCCGTCCACAGGAACTCAGTGAGGTCTCGAATGCCTGTGAAATCCTGCAAGATGTATGGCACGCTGCGGAAGGGGTCTGTCTGCTCGGATCCCAAGCCACAGCAAGTGAAGAAGATCTTTGAAGCACTGAAGAGAGGCCTCAAGTAAGGATGGCTATTCGTTGCCTTTAACAAGTGCATTCTTTGTCCTCGTCTGCTTGGTGCTCTCTGCCTCTTCCTGGGGAACGTGGGTGGGTCTCTTCTGTAAGAGGCCACAGAGGGAGCTCCTGGTTATCTGTTTAGTCAACAAGCATGTCCTGGGTGCAGCCATGTGCTTGGCCCTGTCCTTGGGCACTGGGGACACAGTGAATACGGCAGGGGGACCCTGGTCTCATGGAGCTCACGGTGTGGAGGGGGAGACGGTGATAAAAAGTAATGTGATCAATACCGTAACTTCCACGAGCCCAGAGGGCAGTGAGGGAGGTGATGGAGAGACAGCATGTGGAAGGCCTGTCACACAGGGCTGCCCGGAGAGCTTCACTGAGGAGGTCCTGATGGTTTCCGAGAAGGAGCCATCGTGCTGGCCTCTGGGGGACGAGCATCTTGGGCAGAGGGAACGGCACGGGCAAAGGCCCTGCAGTAGGAGCTTGCACAACAGCTGGAGGTCAGGGAGGCTGGATTCAAGTGAGGAAGAGACTGACTGATTAACTGAGCAGAGGTGGGAACAGGAAGATTCAGTCACTTATTCCCCATATTTTTATTGAGGGCTTATCAAGTGCCAGGCGCAGGGTACGGGAATGAACAAAACACAAAAACCCCTGCCCCCGCGGAGCTGACATCCCAGTGGGGGACACACAGACAATAAACACTATAGAAAAGTAGAATAGAGAGTATGTCAGAGGGTGGTAGCTCCTATGGAGGAAAACAAATCAGGGTAGAAGGCGTGCGGTTGATTTTAAACAAGGTGTTCCAGGAAGGGCTCCCTAAGAAGGTGACATTTGAGCAAAAACCTGACGAGGTGAGCCCGGCAGATGACGGGAGAACATTTCAAGCCAAAGGAGCCACTTGTGCAAAGACCCTGGGGCAGGAGCATGATCGGCACATTAGGGGCACAGTGGTCAGGTCAGCATGGGAGCTGAGGTGGGGGGAGGGGTATTCGCGCATTTGCCGAATGGAAGGCTTTTCCTTCTTCCGGGGATGCCCTGTCCTGCTCTCCACCTCTTGTGACCCTGCTCTTCATCCCTCACTAATTAATAGTAATAATAATAATAGTAATAACAGCAGCAGCAGCTCTATGACTTGTTTGGTGCTTCATATACATCGTGTCCTTGATGCCATGAGAGACTCTCTTAGCCTCCTTTTCCAGGCGAGAAACTGAGTCCCAAAGATGGGAAGCATCTTGTCCAGGATCCCACAGCCAGGAAGCAGAGAGTGGGGCTCCAGGGCCAAGGCTGCCTGCCCCGCTGTCCCCTGGGCTTAGGGTAAATGTCACCTCCCTCCGTGCTGGTGCCTGGCTCCCTACGCAGGGGTCATCCCACAGTGCGCCCAGCGCTGGTGCTGAGTGGGAGCCGGGGATGTGCCCAGAGGGTGGAGGCCTATCTCCAAGGTGCCGCTCTCCCAGGAAAGCTTCTGGTGATTCCTGTGAGGACCGTACATTTGAGACTTGTCTGGGGTCAAGGGCATCTCCTTCTTCCTGGGGAGCCCAACCCCTGAGGGAGCTGTGGTCTGGCAGAAGGTAGTGTAAGTGGGCCCAGAGAGGGTGAGTCACCTTCCTGGGGTAAGCCAGCAAATCTACAATGGAGCAGGACGGGGCCCCCACCTGGCCCCCAAGTCCAGACCTCAGGTTTCATGTCCGAGTCTCTTTTTGGCGGAAAACACAACATGAAAAGTCCCCTCGGGCCCATGGCTTTTTCTGTGCCTTCCAGAGTGGGTTTGTCAGGCCCCTTTCTGGTCCTGGGCATCCAGACAGCAGGACGGCCTGCCTTTAGCTGTGAGGGAGGTGTGCTCTCTGTAACCTCCCCACGGGCTGGGGTGAAGATACTGGACTCTGGAGGCCACTGCCTGGTTTCAGACCTGGGTTCAGCCTCTTCCCTGCTGTGTGACCCTGCGCTGAGTTGCTTCAGGGTCAGTTTGCCCATCTCTAAAATGGGTATAATAACAGTAGCTCCTGTTTGCAGGGCTGTTTGGGGAATTACCTAAGGGATTCCCCATTTTGTACAGCGCTGGGCGCACAGCCCTGGGTGTGTGGGATGTGGAGGCTGGGCGAGCTGGGACTGGGCTTCCGGGGGGTGGGCTGAGTCTGCCCTCTGACCCCTGAGCCTGCTGAGCACCCCCTGCTGGTGGCCGTGGCTGCCTCCTCCCTGGAACTCTGCTCATCTGCCTGTTTCTTTCCTTTCTCTGCTCCTTTTCCAACTCCTTTTCCTTGTTCTCCTCACAGGGAGTATCTGTGCGTCCAGCAGGCCGAGCTGGATTACCTGTCAGGACGCCACAAGGACACCCACAGGAATTCCAGGCTGGTGAGACCCCTCCCGGGCCCTTCCCAGGCGAGCAGCCTTGGCCAGGGTTCCAAGATGGACCCTCTTTCACCCCGTTGCCTGCATCACGGGTGTGAATCTCAGTCTCGGAACTCAGAGGCCTAAGGAGTGGGCTTTATTTTTGATGAATGAACCTCACTTGGACCCGGATGAATTTAACCTCGCAGACTGGTGGGAAGCTCCCGGCAGCCCCTGGCCCTCACATGGTGCAGCAGTTCACACATCTTTGGGCCACCTCCCTTTAGTTCTAGAAGTAACTGTAAGGTAGGCGGGTGTACAGAGGGGTGTCTACGTTAGATGGCCCTATTCTGTAGCGCTTGGCCATCTGGGCCCCCTGCAATCAGGGTGGCTTACATGATGGCAGGAAATTGGATCAGGCATTGAATCCAGGGTGTGTCACTGTGCCAGTGGCCCTGACACCGTCCGTCCTTGATCATCCCTGCGTGTTCCCCCAACGTCCAGCGGCTCTGCAGTTTTGCTCTCATCTGAGTGGCATCTTTGAGGCTGCCCTGGGACCTGTCTAGCCCAGGATTCACTTGCTCTGGGCTTCTGCCACCCCCTTAGCAAAGCCAGATTTAGAAGAAACAGAACAAACGCCACAAAAAACCAATACCAAAAACAAACCAAAAAAATAGGATGCCCAGTTAAATTTGATTTTCAGATAACAAATCATTTTTCAGTATGTCCCATGCAATCTTCAGGACACAGTTATACTAAAAAAAAAAAAGTATTCATTGTTTATTGGAAATTTAAATGTGACTGGGGGTCTTGTATTTTTTTTTTGGCCACACTGTGCAGCATGCGGGATCTTAGTTCCCTGACCAGGGATCGAACCCGTGCCCCCCGTAGTGGAAGCGTGGAGTCCTAACTACTGGACCACCAGGGAATTCCCTGGGTATCTTGCATTTTATCTGCTGGCACTGCCAGGACCCCACTGCTGGGTGCCTGCATCTCTCCAGTGGGGAGGCTTTCTTTTGCATCTTGGGGAGTCCCTCCCAGCCCCTCTTCTCTATCCGGCTGCTGCCTTGTGAAAACCCCTCCTGTCCTTAATGAGAACTTCTGGAAGCAGAAACCAGGAGGCCTTGATGTCTATGGCTTTCTCTAGCTCATTCCAGCCCTGCTCCTCCAAGGGCCAATGCAGAGAGCGGGCCACCGGCTTGATGGAGGGACTGCAGACACGAGGGGGTGGGGAATGAATCTATCAGTCGTGTCCCCTCACCTCTATATCTTGGACCCAGCAAAGAAGACCTCGGGGGTCGACAGGGTGGGAGATGCGGGGCTCCCAGCCTGCCGGCCCACTTGGAGAAGGGAAGGCCAGGCAAGCTCACTCATGCCTTGTCCTTGGTGGGCAAATGGGTCAGTGCAGAGGCGGAAGGAGGCGTTGCCTGGTTCCCGGCCCTTCCGAGCACTTGCCGAGCCTCCCTCTCTTGTGGGTGTGGCTGTTCTTACGTCCTCCGGTCTCTGGTCTCTCTTTCTCTGTTCTAGAAGTAACTCTAAGGGACGCAAGGTTTATGTAAAGGTCTGTATGTGTTAGCTACTCCCATTTCATAGGTGGGCACACTGAGGTAGGGAAGGGGCAGCAACTGCATTGGGGCCACCCAGAGGGACGATGCACCTGGGGTCCGGTTCTCAGTTTCTGAGAAGTTGCTGTGCAGTTACTTTTCTTTCCAAAGCCTTGGGAACTTTCTTATTTCTTAATTTCTTGCATAGAGTTGTTTTTGTGTGTGTTTTTTAAAAAAATATTTATTTATTTTGCCTGCGCCAGGTCTTAGTTGCAGCACTAGGGATCTTTTAGTTGAGGCATGCAAACTCTTAGTTGCGGCATGCATGCGGGGATCTAGTTCCCTGACCAGGAATTGAACCAGGGGCCCCTGCATTGGGAACGTGGAGTCTTAACCACTAGACCACCAGGGAAGTCCCCTTACATAGAGTTTTAATTTCATAATCCTACACGTACAATGTCACATAAATGCATACGTAGGAAAACAGACGTTGGCACGGCGTTAATCCATCTTTTCCTTCTTGCCTGACTGGTTCCCGTCTGCAATTTTCTCTGTCCCACTCTGTTTAGCCCTTGAGGACAATCTAGTCTTTATCTTTCCATATTTTCCTCCCTGGTCACATAATCATGCAAATTTACAAATTGTGCATATAGAGTGGTTTGGTTAACAGTTGTCTTACAAAAATGAAATCGCAACTTACATACTCTCCCACATCTTAGTCCTTCTCCTTAGTGGATCGCCAACCTTGTGGAAATGCGTTCAGGCTCAGATATAGTGACTCTAACCCACGTGGGCAAAGCAGGGCCTGTTTTGGAATTAAAGTTTGTCCGAACACAGCCCACACCCCTCATTTACATATTGTCTGTGGCTGCTTTCATGCTCCAATGGCAGAAACCATATGGTCTGCAAAGCCTGCAATATTTACTATCTGGCCCTTTATACAAAGATTCCCCCATCCCGACAATATATTCTTTTCATTGGCTACACCGTGGCCCCCTGCAAATCCGGATGGACCAGTCCGGATTTGCAGTTTCCTTAGACCTGAACTCCTGGGTGGTGCTGGCTGCCTCTCCCCACTCTCAATCCCTCTGGTCATGGCTAAAGTCACCCCTTAAATAATCAAATTGCACTGGTTCCCCTCTTGTTGAGTTTACACCGTCCTTTACTCTTCGTAACTACCCTATGGGGTCAGTGCTGTTGGTACCCCACTTTACATAAGGAAATGGAGGCTCAGACAGGTAGAGAAACTTGCCTGAGACACACAGCTGGCAAATAGAGTCAGGCCTAGAGTTGCCTCACCCAAAGCCCATGTGTTTACTCATTCTTCCTGCTTGGCCTGGACCACAGCTTGCTGACTGCAGGCCTCAGAGGACGGAGTGGCCGCTGGCTTTTTGTCCTCTGAGCTCAGGCGCCCCTGGGATGTCGCCTCATGGGTCTTGGAGGAGCACTGGAGTCCTGACTCCCTCCTTTCTCTCCTCCCCTGCAGGCTTTCTATTATGACCTGGACAAGGTGAGGGAAACTCCTGTCTGCACGTGGTAAGCAAGGTGGGCCATGGCTGGGCCTGGCTGGATGAGAATAACGTCTTCGCTTGCATTCCATCCTCCTGGCCGTCCCATGGGAGGAATACTTGGGTTTCCTCCCCACTTTACAAATGGGGAAACTGAGGCTCAGTGATGCGCCTTCTTTAGGGATGGTGAGGGGCTGGCCTGGCGTTGAGCGCAGCTCTGTGTGTCAGTACCTGGAGGAGGGTGGCAGGGGCTTGGGGGGAGTGTGGGCAGGCTACTTTTGAAGCATCTTCTCTTCTTCTGGGAGAAGCAAACACGCTCTGTGGAAAGGCACATTCGGAAGATGGAGTTTCACATCAGCAAGGTCAGCCTGGCTTCGGGGGGTGTCTCCCGGCTTGCTGGGCCTCTGCTGGGTTAGCAGTGGGGCGGTGGCGGGAGGTTCTCTGGGTGCCAGGTGGCTGGAGAGAGCCAAGGAGGAGCAGAGCCTGCAGGGGCTGAGCCCTGAGATGGGGATCAGGGGGTTGGGGTTAGAGGGCTGGGAATGTTGAGTCCCACCACCCGATCATACAGATGGGATTGCAGAGGCCCAGAGAGGGACAAGGATTGGCCCAGGGTCGCACAGCAAGTGCCTTAAGCTTTATATTCTGCAAACTCTTCCGTGAGCTTGCTCTACTCCCCCAGGAGCCCAGTGGGCGGACAGAATATCACAAACCCACCTTCCCTGTTTCACAATTGAAAAATCGGGCAGGGAGAGGGGAAGCGATGCACCCACCCGGCCAGTTCACTAGTTTTTACTGTGCACCGCTGGGTGCCAGCCTCTGCCAGGTGCTGGGGATGCGGAGCTGACGAGACAGACTTGGTCCTTGCCCCGCGAGCGCACATTCTACGGGGGTGGGACCGTAGGGGTGCTCGGGGCGAGTGACTGGCAGGTCGGGGCCCCGCCCCTCGGCGTGGGCCGCGCCCACTAGCCCGTGCGGCGCCCACTGGCCCGTGCGCCCCGCAGGTGGACGAGCTCTACGAAGGCTACTGCATCCAGTGCCGCCTGCGAGACGGCGCCTCCAACATGCAGCGGGCCTTCTCCCGGTGCCCGCCGAGCCGCGCCTCCCGAGAGAGCCTGCAAGAGCTGGGCCGCAGCCTGCAGGAGTGCACCGAGGTGGGCGGCGGTGGCGGGCAGCGCCTCGAGGGTCGGGCCGGTCTTGGGGTTCCCTGGGCCCTGAGGAAGCCTCTTTCTCTGCCCGGGGGCCTCTGTCTGGCAGGGTCTGTGCGTCCCCCGTGGCCGAGCCCGGGGGCAGGCGGTGAGCCACCTTGTGTGGGGCTTTGCAGGACATGTGGCTCATCGAGGGGGCCCTGGAGGTTCACTTGGGCGAGTTCCACGTCAGGATGAAAGGTAACAGAACAGGGCTGAGAGTGGCTGGGCAGGTGCCAGTGTGGAGGGAGCATCAGGCCTTCTCGGGGACCCTGGGGCTTGTGCGGAGGGTTGGCCAGAATCCCGGGGGTCCAGGCCCAGCCCTCGTTTCCACTCCTGTGACTTGTGACTTCGGGCAAGTCCTATTCCCTCTCTGAGTTGAAAGTGAGGGCCCAGGCCTGTCCACTGTCATCATGAAGGCCTATCCCCCCCATCCCCCGAAGCTGATACCCACCCTGTGATGGGGGGCTCCTCGTATGAGGGCCTGTGACCCATGGGGCAGGGACGGAGGAGAGTGGAGAAGAGAGATTAGCCCGTCTCTGTGTTCCAGGCTTGGTGGGCTACGCACGCCTCTGTCCGGGAGACCAGTATGAGGTACAGCCACGCTCCGGGCGGGATCAGACCTCAGGGCTCCTCACCAGGCCTTTGGGGGTTGGGAGCTTCTGGCAACCAGGGCCCCAGCTGGGTTTCTGTCCCCGCCCCAACCCAGTTGGCAGGGAGGGCCCCCAGGCAGGGGGCAAGGGGGGCGGCTGACCCCTCCCTCCGTGGGCCTGGCCCACAGGTGCTCCTGCGCCTGGGCCGCCAGCGCTGGAAGCTGAGGGGCCGGATCGAGTCTGACGACAGCCAGACCTGGGACGAGGAGGAGAAGGTCTTCATCCCCACCCTGCACGAGAACTTGGAGATCAAGGTGGGTGGGGCTTAGGGGCGGGGCCTGGGCGCCGCGGGGGGGCGGGGCTTGGCTCCGACACCACCCAGAACTCCCCATCCCCGCAGGTGACAGAGCTTCGGGGCCTGAGCTCGCTGGCGGTGGGCACAGTGACCTGCGACATCACCGACTTCTTCACAACCCGGCCGCAGGTCATCGTGGTGGACATCACAGAGCTGGGCACCATCAAGCTGCAGCTGGAGGTGCTGTGGAAGTGAGTCGGGGTAGCCGCCTCCCCCTGCCCGGGGCCCACTGCCCCGACTGGAGGCCGGCCCCAAACTCCCACCCAGAGAGGAGGGGGCGGGGTGGGGGGAAGGGGGCTCGCCGGCTCCCCCTGGTGGCCTAACCACGCCTTAGCATCCACCTTGGGCAGCCCTGCCTTCATCCTGCCCCCCAGACAGGCTGGGGCCCAGACCCTTCCCTGCAGCCCTGCCTACCCCACCGCCCCCGCCCCTCTGACTTTTGATTCCCTTCTCACTTTTGACCCAGTGGCTGTTAAAGACCTGGCTGGGGACTTCCCTGGTGGTCCGTTGGTTAAGACTCCACGCTCCCAATACAGGGGGCCCTGGTTGGACCCCTGGTCAGGGAAAAAGATCCCACATGCCACGGCTAAGAGCCCACATGCCACAACTAAGAGCCCGCATGCCGCAACTAAGAGCCCTCATGCCACAGCTAAGAGCCTGCATGCCGCAACTATGACCCAGTGCAGCCAAATAAATAAATATTAAAAAATAAAATAAAATAAAGACCTGGGCTGGCCAGGACCCTTTCCAGCAGCCTCCTGGGCTGGGTTCCTGGGAAAAGCCTGCCTCTGCCCAGGAGGACTGGCTTTGCTGTGCCCACCTCATTCCCCGCTGACCCCTGCCACCCATCAGGCATAACGCCGAGTGGTCACCTTGAGTCCTCCCTGGGCCACAGCCCCATGGATGGGGGACACGCGTGAGAGCGACCCCTGCCCAGGGTGGGGCTCTCCACTGCGCATGCCATTTCAGTGATTGCTGGTGGTTTCCACAGGTTTTGGTTTTGGTAGCAGAGCTCTTTCTCCCAAATGAAACCTTGGGTTTCGAGGAAATTCCCTTCTCCTCATTCCCCAGGGCAGGTGCTGCAGGAGCAAAGGGGCTGAGACGCACTTCCTCTACTCTGGTGCTTCTTGTGACCAGTTGGGGCTGGTCTCTCCTTCCTCCCTGGGGTGGGGTCCAAGCCGGGGTCACTGGAGCCACTGCCCTCTCCCCGGTGAGCTGGGTGAATTTGGACAAGTGACACCCCAGCTTCAGTGTCTTCATTTGTCTAGCGGGGCTGAGCACGCCTCTCAAGTGTACGGGGCAGGAGGTGGCCCAGCGCCATGCAGCCCCAAGCCGGGCAAGTCCAAGGACCCGGGTATCCCGCCGGCCTGCAGCTGCCCTGGACAGGCAGGAAGGGTGTCCAGGCAGTGCCTCTGAGCCTCAGGCCCTCGTGGCTGGGCTGGGCCCCAGAAGTTGCGAGCTAGGCCTGTGTGCAGGGAGGCACGTGGCAGGGAGGGCTGACCCACGCCTGCCTGCTCCAAGGGCAGGCGAGGGCCGGGCTGACGCATCACTTCCTCACCCTGGATCTGCAGCCTTCCCTGTGACTGTGACTGGCGCCCCCTGACCGATGAGGCATCTGAGGGGGGCAGTGACGTGGCTAACCCAGAAGACGGCAGAGCCGAGTGTCCACCTCTGGTCTGCTGAGCTTCTCGAAAGGCCTCTAAAGGGGGGTGTCATTCACCTGTGTGGTGGCCGAGTGCTGCCCCTCGCCATCTGGCTAAGGGCGTTCAGGGCAGCGAGCCTCTGAGAGACGTGGCCAGAAGGGTTGAGAACGTGGATTTGGAGTCCCTTGGCTGTGCCTGCCCCTCCCCGAGCCTCCATCTCCTGGGTCCTGTCTGTGCTCCAGTGTCCTCCGGCCATCGATGACACCCTGGCCTCTGCTCTCCTCCAGCCCATTTGATACCGAGAGCTTCCTGGTGTCGCCCAGCCCCACGGGCAAGTTCTCCGTGGGCAGCAGGAAGGGCTTCTTGTACAACTGGACACCCCCGAGCACCCCCAGCTTCCGGGAGAGATACTACCTGGTGAGTGAGCCTCGCCGGGCAGGGGTGCCGTGGTCGAGCTTGGATCGGGAGTGGGGGGGACTCCCCAGGGGCCAGCACAGGGGGCTTGGCTGAGCAGCAAACTTTGGGCTCAGCCTCCCTTGTTTGGGGGTTATCCTGGGTGTTTTTCTGTACTTTTTCTTTCTCGCAGCCAACCCCTCCATTCTGGGGCCTCTGGACTTGGTCCTGGGCTTGGCTGGTTCTTCCGGATGCCTGGGATGGGGTTCTCTGGATGGTTCTACCACCCCAGCCATGACCTTGGCCTCCAGTCTGTTTTACCCTTTAGTATATGTTTCCAGTAGGTAATACCTTGACACCCTGTACAGTAAAATACCTCGACACCCTGTACAGTAAAATACCTCTTTCCTGTGGCCTCCAGGGACCTGGGTCCCCTCCTTAGCACCAACTACTCTTGTCACCTTCCTCCATATTCCTCCAGAGATGCTCCGTGCCGTCTGGGAGCAGATGCCTCTTTCCCAGCCTTTCTCCCACAGCAGCCCTTAACCGAGTGATGTACTGGACACTGTCATTCCCAGAGCGCTCCTCATTCTTTGTTTGCACCGTGCAGCATTCCACATTTGACTAAAAATCGCACTTTATTTAACAAGATATTGAGGTTCAGTTATTTGCTGTTACCAACGACGGGGCTGAAAATAACCTGGTACACACGTCATCCTGCATGTGTTCAAGTATCTTCCCAAAGCAGGTGCCCCAGTGAGGGTCCAGGGACAGAGACAAAAACAAGGACATTCTGTCAAGCCCAGAGGGAGGGTGATGCTGAGCTGGATGAACCTGTCTCCCGCCTCTGGACCTTAGGTGCGGAAGGCAGCTTTATATGAGCTGGGCAACTTGTGCATTTAGAGGAAACGTGATTGTCTGGCCAGGGTGGTCCCAGTGTACTTTGGTTGAAAAATCATCTATGGTTAAGAGCATGGACTCTGGAGCCAGATGGCCTGGGGTCCAAATTCTGTCTATGCCTTTCATCTGCTGTGTGACCTTGGGCAAGTCATTCAACCTCTCTGGACTCCAATTTCCGTATCAGAGAAATGAGAACAACAGCACCGCCCTGATGGGGCTTTGTAAGGGTTAAATGACTTAGTTAATGAGGAGTGCTTACAAGAATGCCTGGCAAAAACAGATGGTGCTGTCTGAACATCAACCATTATTATTGGTTCGGTTGGTGAGGGGGAGGGGTTCGGGTTTATGTCAGCTCGCCTGGATTAAAACTCTCGCACTTTGATCCTCGCCTGTGTGGCCTGAGGATGAGCCAGTGCCCACCCTCAGGGAGGTGTGGTGATGGTTAAATGAGGTCTGACTCAGAGACTGGGGCTGGAAAGGAGTGCATTAGAGGGGTGATGAGGGATAAGGGCAGAGTGGTGCCAGGCTCTTATCAGCACTTCCGGGCTGCCAGTCACCTTGGTGGACCTCAGTCATCCTGAGAATGTGGGTATGCAGAGCAAGGGTCTGTGGGGGAAGCCCTCTGGGGGCCTCGCTGTGATCCCTGGGGCAGCTGGTGAGGCTGCTCCCGCATCCCCCTCTCCAGTCTGTCCTGCAGCAGCCGGCACAGCAAGCCTTGCTGCTGGACAGGCCGAGGGCCACCTCCATTCTCAGCTGCCTGTCCGACGGTGACCTTCAGGGGCCTGGCCTGCGGAGCCGGAGTCAGGAGCTGCCTGAGATGGACTCCTTTAGCTCCGAGGACCCCCGAGACACTGAGACCAGCACAACAGCATCCGCCTCGGACGTGGGCTTCCTGCCCTTGGCCATTGGCCCCAACACCTCCATTGAAGAGGGGGCCCAGGAGGACCCCCCACCCCTGGGCCTCCTGCCAGAGGTGTTCCACCTGGCGGAAGGCTCATTTGTGGAGCAGCCTGGGTGGAGAAATTTGGGAGTAGAAAGCCTCGACCTGCCACGGGGCTCCCCCTTCTGCAACCACGTGATCCCCGGAGGCCAGGAAGGCCACGATGAAGCAGAAACCGAGGATGGAGTGGATGGGCCCGGGGTGCCCCTCGAGAGGCCCCTGCAGGATGTCCTGGATTTACTGAGGTCCACGGACCCTGCCCCGCCCCAGCTCCGGGAGCTGGAGTACCAGGTCCTCAGCTTCAGGGACCGGCTGAAGGTACGTTTATTCTTTGCTGGGCGCAAGTCCTGCTTTGCTGATGGTGTGACAACTGGGAGTGAGATCCTGGGGCAGGGAGCCTGGGCCAGCATCCTGGCCTCACCCCTGTGTAACCCAGGTGGGCGATGTCTCCTCTCTGGGCCTCAATCTGTTCATCAGTCCAATGGGTGTAACAACGGCTCTCAACGACCTGGGAGGAGGATTATAAGAGGAAGTCGGGGCTCAGTGTGGATAACTTGCTCCACGTCCAGCCAGATCCCAGCCCCATCTCACATCTTCTGACCTGGGTGGGTGGGGCTGCGGCTCAGCTTTAAAATTCCCAATTTGGGGCATTCTCAGGGTCAGAGCTGGCACTGTGGGAGGCCCCTCACAGCCACACACCCCACACCAAAACTTCTCCACAGGGCCCACGACAGGGGCTGTCCTTGGGTGGCTCTCAGAGGTGCTGGCCTGAGCAGGTTATTTCTGTTTTTTTGGTTTACATATAGAGATGTACATAAGCTAAAATGTATACTTATATATATATATATATATATATATATATATATATACATATGGCACATATATACAGCATATATACATACAGCACCTACTTAGACATCAATTTTTTTTTTGGCCGTGCCCCAAGGCTCGTGGGATCTTAGTTCCCCAACCAGGGATCGAACCCGTGCCCCCTGCAATGGAAGCACGGAGTCCTAACCACTGGACCTCCAGGGAAGTCCCCATACAGCAATTACTTTATGGAACCACTGTCTTTTGTGTTCAGTTCACTGGCACTGAAAGAGTTTAACAGCTCTCTTCAAAATTCGTTTCGGTTATTCCAGCCCTGACCCCTCCCCCAACATTACAGTTCAGCACAGGTGAAAGTTTAATTTTTCACTTTATATCTAGTAACTTTAAAAACACGTTCGCTGTTTACCACTGCTGTGGTCTTTAAAAAGGACCTGCCAGAAAATTTCAAGAAAAAAATTTAAGAAGTAACGTCACCCTTTTTGTATTTCTTAGCGGCGTTAGTATGTAGAACCATTCGGGTCGGTACGCACGCAGCTTCTGCCACATACCTGTATTTTGAAAAATACACTTTGCATAAACAACCTAAAGTAATACTGCAATAGGACGATAATTTTAAACATCTTCGAGGAACTGTTTTTTTTTTGGGGGCAAACCAAGTTAGAACAATACAAATGATTATAGGCGATGGTGTTTAGTTTGACTTTTGCAAGAGAAATTATACACATAGGTATAGGTGTATAAATTCACGTATTTATATTCATGTGTATATGTGAGGATTTAATTTTATACGTGTGTATATATATTTATATACACGCAGTTAATTCTCACTATTCACAGATTCTGTTTTTGCGAATTCATCTACTTGCTAAGGCATGCTCGTGATGCTTTCGTGGTCATTCAGAGGCACGTACAAAGGGGCAAATAACTGGAGTCACCTGATGTGCAAGTTCCCAGCTGAGGCTGAAGGCGATGACACTCTTCCTTCTTTTCTCAGCTCATACTGCACCCAAGTGTCCTTTTCACCGAATATTTAGTGCTACGTTTTCCACATTTCTGTACTTATTTCTGGTGATTTCGCTGTTTGAAACAGCGCCCAAGTGCCAGGCTGAGGTGCTGGCCAGTGTTCCTGACGTGCCTTATGGAGGAAATGTGTGTGTTGGATAAGCTGTGTTCAGGCGTGAGTTAAAATGCCACTGACCTTGGGTTTAGTGTATCAGCGGTACAGTGTCTATATTAAATAAGACGTCTAAGCGGACACACAGAAAACAAGGTTACGTATTGATGGGTTGATGAAAATGTTGACCAGAGGCTCACTCCTCTGCATCTCCCCTGGGAGCAATTGCTCAGTTTCAAATCCACAGATCACGACGTTACACACCGTAACTACCGTGAACAGCAAGAACTGTGTGTGTGCGCATGCGCCTGTGTGTGCGCGCATATATATATGTATATATGTGTATATGTATATATATATATATTTTTTCTATTGGGCAAGGAAATCTCTGCAACTAGTCTTATTCTTCTCTTGTTGCTCAAGGTTTTCTCTTTGGGCTCAACTTTCAGGAGCCCAGTTCTGGCTCTTGGGGCAGCGTCTACTTGGGCTATGCCTTCGGTGCACTTTGTGTGAGACGAGGCCCCTGGGGATGGGAATCAGCCACAGCAGACTTGCCACTGGGAGACTCTGACGACTTGACACCCCCTCCTGCCGCCTCCCCCAGTCAGGGGCTGCCTTAAACTTCCTCTCCTTCCACGTCTCCCCGGGAGAGGAGACACCTGGAACTCAGAGGCTCACCTAGCAGCCTCTGGCCTGGGTTGTTGGGAGTTGTTTGGCCTGACCCACGCCGTATTTAAAAAATAATTTGGAATTAGTTGTCGATAGTTAAAAACTGGGCAGCTCCCCACAAAGTCTAGATTTCCACTTTTTCTTGGAAAACTGAACAATCTGGCAACCTCAGGCCTCACACTCCGGGTGGCAGGTGGCCCTCTTGGGGGAGGGCCCTGCTCTCCAGCTCTCTCCTGTCATTTGCCCTGTCCCTGTGGGTGTTTGTGACCGGTGAGATTTTTCAGATCTGCCCTCCTTCCAGCCGTCATGCCAGGCCTTGTCACAGGCCGTTCGGGAGGGGCCTTGGGGACGCGTCCCCTTGCCCGTCCCTGACGCAGGGGATGGCAGCCCTGCTGAGGGACGGTGACCAGGGCGCCGTTAGGGTGGGTGTGCTGGGCGGGTGGCCGGGCTGCCCTGAGTTCCGGCTGTCCGTCCATCCGTCCGCAGCCCCGCGGAGCCCGCCGGGAGCACGCGTCCGCCGAGAGCCTGATGGAGTACATCCTGGAGAGCTTCTCCTTCCTCAGCGCCCACATCACCCCGCACGAGCTGGCCGTGTTTGGGGGCTCCCAGGGTCCCCGGTGAGTGCGCCCGTCCCAGCGCGGCCCTGGTGACCAGCCTCGGGGCTGGGGTCTCCCACAGCCCGGCCCTGATGTCTGTTTTCTTTATTGTGGCCCCGGCACCGCCCCGCACAGAGCAGGTCCTCCGTGACCACTGAGTGAACGAGGATACCTCAGCCTGGCCCTTAGCCTTCTGCTCCGAGCGATGGGCTTTTTTTTTTTTTTTTAATCTTAAAAAATAACAATAGCGCACTCAGTAGGACCTCTGACCTCTGCGGAGCAATCGCCCAAGTGACCCTGCTCCCAGTTCCTTCTGCACAACTGCCCGCCCTCACCTGCGACACCAACTGCGTTCTCGGTGAAGCAGCTCCCACCTGCCCACTCGCACTGGCCTGAGCGCTTCTCCTGCACCCAGTTCAGCAGCACAGAAGCGTGTGAACAGGCCACATTTCTCCTCTCTTCTCACGATCCCATGGGGAGGGTGTGGCATCTCCACCCACCTCAGGGCTCAGGCTCAGCCCCTGCCCGGAGCAGACACAGTGCTGGGTACGCTTGTGTGTCACTCACCCCTCACGGCCCCGAGCTTGGGGTTCCTGCCCCCACTTCACAGATGAATAAACTGAGACTAGGGGAGGCTGACTTATCCAGAGTCACAGAGCTAGGAATTAGTTGGAACCTTAGGCTTCTGCTGCAAATTGCACACCCTGCAAGGTGCGGGGGGGGGCCCCCAATGCCATCCCAGCACCTGTTTTGAGTTGTTGCTACCTTTTGCTGCTTCTCCTTTTCTCTTAGTTTTCTCCTCAGTTTAACTCCATCTCCTTGGGACCTGGAGTTGGCCTCCCTGATCAGAGCTCTCCAGAGAGGGAGGGTTTCCTCTACCCTTGGAGGGAGCTGAACTGCTAACTGAACGGTCACCCAGTTCTTCTCAATTCAACTCAGAAAGGACAAGACTCCACCTCCACCGCCAGCACTGAAAGCGTCGTCCAGGGAGCTCACGGCTGGTGCCCCAGAGCTGGACGTGCTGCTCACGATTCACCTCCGAATCTGCAAAGCGCTGCTGCAGGTGGGTGAGGAATGGGGGAGGGTGGGGTGGAGTCGGGGTGGGGTGGCAGGTTCAAAGCGGGGGTGATGGTGGTGGTGCTGGTGAATAGTCATGGGGTCCTTATACAGCCCAAGCCCTAAACCGAAGGCAGTGGTTGTGTCTCTTTGAGTGGCAGATGCCAAGACTCCAATCCAAACTGGCTCAGCCGAAAGGAAATTTTTTGGCTCATAGGATTGAAAGGCCCAGAGGTGAGCTTCAGGCCCAGCTGGATCCAGGGTTTCAAACGTTATCATGACTGAGTCTTTCCCTCTCTCAGCTCTGCTTTCCTGTGTTGGTTGGCTTCATTTTCTGGCAGGCTGGCTCCTTCCGGTGGCAAAGGTGGCTCCTGGCAGCTCCAGCCTGCATCCTATCGTCTCTACCCCTTTTAGCAAAGGAGGAATCCCCAAATGACAGTCAGGGAGCTACCATCGGGATAGAAGAAAGGATGGGCACAGGGCAGGTGGGCGCCACAGGCATGGTGGTTGACCTCAGAGGGCATGTTCTGTGCTAACCCGGAGCATCATGGGTTGCTTCCCAGAAACTGGACTCTCCTAACTTGTCGAAGATGGTCCAGGAGTGCCTTCTGGAAGAAGCTGCACAGCAAAAACAGATTCTGGAGACGCTTTCTGTGCTTGATTTTGAGAAGGTCAGCAAGGCGACATGCATTGAAGAGAGTAAGTGCCTGTCCTCCATCCACGGACTGCCCGTGTGCGTGGCAGGAAGTGATGAGGATGAAAGCCCAGGGGGCCTCCTCTCCCTTCCCAACACCCAGAGTTAAATGGAGCCCAGGGGACATGAGTGGGGGCAGCGGCTGGGATCAGACACACACTGTGGGGTGGGAAGGGAGGCCCGCTAGCCTCGGTCAGCTGTGTGACTCTGGGCAAACGATTCACCTCTCTGAGCCTCAGCTTCCCCATCTGTATAGGGGAGGCCGCTGGGTAGCTGTCAGTGAAGGAACCCCAGGAGACATTCAGGGTATACAGTGTGCGGTCAAACAGTAGCTGTGACCCCAGTTCTGCCTCTGCCCCCTCCATGGGACTTCCCCTTGTCCATGAGAGGCTGGTGACAGCAGCAGCCCCAGGGTTGTCGTGAGGGCTGCACGTGGTGACCCAGATGAGGTGCTCACAGCCGAAGCTGCTTGTCTCTGCGGGTCACAATGGGACGTGGGAAAGGGACTCTGCATTAGGCCAGGCCATCCCTCCTCCCCGACCTCTCAGGGCCTAGTGGAAGGACATCTCTGGGCTTCCTCACTGCCTGCTGTTCCCCACCGCCAGTCAGGCTTCTGAGCCTGGGCTTTCAGTCATCCCACAGGCCACGCGGAGGAAGGGGTGCCTGAAGCTGTGGAGAGGCTGCACGGAGCCCGGCGCGGTCCTGTCCTGCCCTGGTACAGTGCTGCTGGACCAGCTCAAGAAGACGTTCCTGCACAGAGTCAGAGGGAAATACCCGGGACAACTGGAAATAGGTAGCCCCCTGCCTGTGCCCACCCGCCTCAGAAATGCTTTGTGGATCCTCTGGGGCCTTCAGCATTGCCTCGGCAAGCCTCCTTGTAGCCCCATCTCCACCTCTGCGAACGCCTTCTCGGCATGAAGTGGAGGCCTTTCTGAAATTGACAAGGCATCTCCTTTTCCTGGGGAGAGGAGGGAGGAGTCCGTGAAGCCGGGAGGCTGCAAACGTTAGTGGGCTCGTGCACCTTTCTGATTCCATGGCTTCCACCAGAACCTTAGAGGGGTTGAGAAGGAGCCTTTATGGGAAGGTAGGCAGGACTTTACCTGCCCCATAGCGGTGTCTTGAATCTTGGCTGGACTCTTTCCCAGAATGCAGAGCTGCAGCACTTTTCTCTGTTGACAACTGAAGGGTGACATACTCCAGGCAGTGGCTCTGGGCCTTAAGCAGTTCTAACCACCTGCATATTCCCAGGCCCCAGCTCTGTGATTCACATCGAGGGGCGGGTGGGGCCCAGGGCACATGGATGCACCGCAAGACTCCCAACTCGGGCCTGTGGGCCTTAGCTGGAGCACGCCCCACGGAGGCGCAGGGGGCGCAGGGAGGGATACCCACCCACACGCCATCAGAGAGCCTTTAAAGTGACCCGGCCGTGGCCGGCTGAGCGGCGCCAAGGGGGCGGGGTCTCGGCCTCCCCTCACGTCGTGTCTGTGTGTTGCCAGTGTGCCGCAGGCTCCTGGAGCAGGTGGTCAGCTGCGGCGGGCTGCTGCCCAGAGCCGAGCTCCCTGAAGAACAGACCATCACCTGGTTCCAGTTTCACAGCTACCTGCGGAGGCAGAGTGTCTCCGACCTGGAGAAGCACTTCGCTCAGCTCACCAAGGAAGGTAGGGGCTGGGGTGGGGGGCACATGGCCTCAAAGCAACACACTGACGACAAAGGAGTGTCCATCGTGGAGACCTCTGCCTCGGCTCGGCTCTGGGAAGCCAGTGTTTCAGAATCACTGTGTCTTTCTCCTCCAGCTGTTCTTTCGAGAACCAGATTTAATTAGATTCTGCATTCAGCCCACGCAGAAATGAGCTCCCAGGGCAGGAGGCTTTCCAAAGCACAGAGCAGAGGTCAGAACTGGACAGGAGGGCTATTGCTGGGCTGGCTGGAGTCCCTGAAGTATGGACCTGGGGTTTATTCATTTTCAGGGTGTATTTGATCCCTTGCTAGAAAGCCTTCCTGGAGATTCCAGGAGGCCCCCTTTGAGACCAATCCAGACTGTCCACTTGGTGATCACACGGGCTTGTCCTGGGATTTGCTTCTCCTTGGCTAATGCACGAGCCACAGCTGTCCAGCCCGGCACAATCAGAGGGGACCCCGGGCCTCCTTTTTTCTGTCTCTTGTAGTAACACTCTTTGAGGAGCTGCAGTGCGTGGGCCAGGCCAAGACAGTCAGGAAGCTGAAGGGGAAGCAGCTGGGCCAGCTCCAGCCCCTGCCCCAGACGTTGAGGGCCTGGGCGCTGCTCCAGCTGGACGGGACCCCACGGGTGTGCAGGGCGGCCAGTGCTCGCTTGGCCAGCGCAGCCAAGAACAAGAGCTTTCGGGAAAAGGTACGGTGTGGGAGGCGGCAGCCCCTGGCTGCAGGTGTGTGAGTTGGGGGGAGGTGGAGGGAGGTAGGCTTCCTCTCGGAAAAACAGGGAGCAGTGAGTGACTGGGGGCTGCATCTGCAGCCGGTATGTTGGTGCAGAGATACTCCAGACATGAACACAGCCTTCCGCAAGCCCTCACCACTGGCAGCAGCCAGCCAGCCCTGGGGAGGGAGCTGGCGTTGCCAGGCGATCAATGGTTAGCAGCATGCCACGTGCTCACCACCTCATTCAGCTCAGTGTTTCTAAAGCACCTTATCTATTCGGTCTCTGAGATGTCACCTGCACGTAGAATGTCTCTTAGAATTCTGACAGTCACCCTCATTTACTTTCAACTAATGTGTGTGGCTGGCTGTTTCGTTGTGCTCGGTTCACTTGAAAACCAAGAGATTGGACCCCTCTGCCTTTTAGGTTCCTGAACACCTGTGACTCTTCTAGATTTCGGGTACCAGCCCCCGTGGTGGGAGAAGGGCAACACTGGGGCCTTGGTCTCGGGCTCACCCAAGTGCCAGGCACATCCCCACTGGCCCCTCCCCCGTGCTTAACAGCCCTTACAACAATTTTGCAAAGCAGTTGACAGCTTTCTTTTCCAGCTGAACCGACTTGGCCACATGGTCATGTGACTGACGGGGCGGGGCCAGAGCTGTGACTGGAGAAGAGTGAGGAAAGGAAGAGATGCTTTTCCTTCTGGCCAAGGCAGCAGCCTCACCGAGGCTCCCTCTGTGTTCACTTCTTTCTGCTGTCCCCGCTGGACAGTGGGTTTCTCTGATTCAGCATTTTTTTTTTTTTTTGCGGTACGCGGGCCTCTCGTTGTGGCCTCTCCCGTTGTGGAGCACAGGCTCCGGACGCGCAGGCTCAGCGGCCATGGCTCACGGGCCCAGCCGCTCCGCGGCATGTGGGATCTTCCCGGACCGGGGCACGAACCCGCGTCCCCTGCATCGGCAGGCGGACTCTCAACCACCGCGCCACCAGGGAAGCCCTCTGAGTCAGCTTTTTATCTAGATGGCAGTTTCAGAACGCGTTTTGTAAACAGTACTAGAGAAAAAGAGTTTTCTTATGTCGTGACCCTCAGCCCAGGGACCAGCGTTTTTAGATAAATTGAATGCCGTAGCCTACAACTCGACACTGCACACCTGCTGTCAGCACTCGGGGGATGAGCCGTGGGCACCGTGGACTTTGCTGTCACCAGCCTCCCATTCACAGTAACCTCATTTCCTAGGCTTTGCTCTTCTACACCAACACCCTGACCGAGAACGATGCAAAACTCCAGGAAGCTGCGTGCGTGGCGCTAAAACATCTCAGGGTGAGTTTAACCCGTCCTTGGTGGGGATAGAGGGAAGCCTGCTTGTGGTTAATGCTGAAGTTAGTTCATTTCAAAATGATCCCACTGGGACCGAAAGAAAGAAAATCACTGCCAGTGAAGAAGCACCGTAAAGAGCTGGTTGTAGAGGAACAGCCACCAGCTCCAGCAGCAGAAGCTCTGATGGCAGAGGTCCCTCGGAAACAGTGCCCGTTTGCTCTGGCTTGGTGTGAACAAGCAGGTGGCCCCAGAGACTCACTTTTGAGCTTTTGGATTATATGGTTTAATATCCTCAATGAAAAACGTTCTAAGATCACAATAAGCTCATTGTAGAAAAAAGAGAGTGTAAAAATACAGCAATGCAAAAATTATCCATCCTAATTCTTGAGCATCTCTGTGCATAAAGCTTTTAAAATTTACATGGAATTCTGAATTACTTCCTTAGGCTAGACTTAGTGTTATCCCAGGACCAGAGAATGCATTGATAAATGTTTTTGAGACTCATGATACCACACACCCATTTACACTCCCAAAAGCAGACAGGAGGGGATGCCCGTTTTACCTCAATCTCATCTTCATTTGTAACCCTTATTTAAATAAAAAAATCATTGCCATTCTGCTAGATGAAAAATGGTCCAATACAGACTAAATTCATTCTGGAATGAACCGGCAGGAAATTCTACAAGGACCATCTGGTTATAATCAAATAACCAGTGAGTGTTAGGGTGCCCACTAGGGGGAGCTAAAGTGCACTCTGGTCCTTGGCCCTGGAGGTGATCAGGTGGTCAGCTGTGCCTGAACCAGGTCAGACCTCCTCTCCTGGTCTGACCAGGAGGGCAGAAGAAGACGGGGTAGAATGGTCCAGGAGAAAGCAGGTGTTCTCATTTCCAACACGGGCCTTTCCAAAGGTGTCAGGATTGAAAACATGAGATGCTGCCAGTGGCACTTTGATGAACCTGAGGCCACAGGAGAAACCTGGAAGCCTTTGGAGAAGGAAGGGGCTGAAGCCGCAGAGACCATGCTAGGGCTGGTCCTGCAGGGTTTATAAAAGTGGATACCTGTTCCTTAAAATGCCCCCTAATGGTCCCCCTTTCCCCCAACCTCAAACAGGGCATCGAAAGCATTGATCAGATTGCCCGCCTGTGCCAGTCTGACGTGGAGGCCGTGCGAGCGGCAGCCCGGGAAACCACGCTGTCATTTGGTAACGTACAGCATCCAGCGTTTCGAAGTGCAGTGGGGTTGCTGGGGCCCGTAGAAAGGTTGTGCCAGAGAGGCCACAGCCAGCTCTCACGTGACGCAAAATAGCACACGGGACGGGCACCGTTAGCAACCTGTTTGACTGCATTTGGCCAAGGCCGGTTTCCTTTATGGCCGAGGTGGCCGTTTACGACCCTTGGGAATGAAAGCCAGATGCGAGGCAGGATTAAGGTTCAGCGGGCTCTGTCTTGGACAAAGGGACGAGTCCCTGGGGTCCACGTGAGCCAGTCCCAAAGGCTCCCCACCCCCTACCCTTTACAGCAGCACCGGAGGCCTAGGCGTCTGGAAGTACTAAGGCCACCTTGGCTCACCAGTGTAGGAAAGAGCGAAGTGGGGAGACAACCCAGTGACAGATGACCTTAATATTTCAGGTGAAAAAGGACGCTTAGCTTTTGAGAAGATGGACAAACTTTGCTCAGAACAAAGAGACGAAGCCTTTGGCCAGGAGGCAGATGTTGAAATCACAATATTTTAAAAAGCCTCAGCTAATGAGCCCAAATCCGGCACCTTTGTTTTTGCTGCTGCCCGGCCTCGACACAGGGAGGGCTTCGGGTGGAGGTACACGGTGCGCTCTCCTAAGAGCGTGAACTGGCCAGAGCTGCTCCCGGACTCTGGGCCAGTTACGAAGCCCCAGGGCACAAGTGGGACTTCTATACGGGAGCAGAACAAGGGGCTGCACGGCACTTAGAGGGCTGCACTTCAGTCAATCAGCCTTTGGCTTTGAGAATCGGCCTGACCTTCCCCGGGGGCAGAGCCGGGTCAGTGCCAGCCAGCCACGTCACGAAGGGGCCGAGGCCAGGCAGGCGGAGGCCTGGAATCAGCAGGTCAGCTGGCTCAGCACTTCTGGTTCACTAAAGACTGGGACTGAGGAGGCGAGCAGACCGAGCGTCCCTGCTGAGGACAGAACTCGAGTCGTTCCCACAGCAGCAGGTGTCACTGTGGGGAGGGCAGAGCCAGGGTTTCGACGGTTCGCCCCCTCAGCCCGAGCTGCAGCCCAAGCGCCACAGGGGAGCCGGCTGGCGGCCTGCTGACCGTGGGCCTTATTTTCACTGTGGTTCAACAGCACAAAGGAAACAAGAACATGCCGTCAGCCGAGAAGTCTTGAGTGCCATTTGCTTTGACCTCACTCATCAGAATGGAATCCATTTTCTGAAGCAAGTCAACTTAGGGCTTATTAAATAAATTGCTTCAGAAGCCATAAGCTAGTTTGAAGAAAGATTTTACTGAACATCATGTTTAAAGAAGGAAAATTAATTTCCTATTTAAGTCTATTAAAACACCCAGACGTGTCCTGGGCTGTTTCTGGGTTAAGAATGTAGAGGTACCCTGGGGTCTGGATGTGGTATCAACAATGGCATTGGAAAGCTCTGTAACTTAAACATGCTCATTTACATTTCCTGTATATATTCTGTGCTTTTTGGTTTAACTCAGTATTTATTTGCCTTGTCCATATGTTGTTTTCTGAAATTACAATTAAAATAACTTTTTATTGGTGTTCCACTCTACCTGAAAAAAGTGGAGGGTAGTGGTTGTTTTCTGGAATATCCTGAGGGAAGAAGCCATCCCTGCTGTCCCTCAGTGCTCTCTTTCCAACGTGACATAGACGCAGGGGTAGAGGAGGGCGGCCTCAGGGCAGGGCTGCCCCTTGGGCTCTCCACGTGCTCTCTGAGGCTCCCGGAGTCCCCTCTCCTTACAGACACCAGGCGGCGTGGCCCTTCTCTGGCCGTGGGCCCTGATTTCTGCTTAGTTACACATTTAGTTATTTTTTTCCACATTGGCATTCCTCCTCTTCATGGACGCTTAGATGTCATTTTTTTTTTTTTGTATCTGAAAACGATTGGGGTGACGACAGTGGGTGTGACGCCACCACCCAGGTCCCCACTGTCCTTGCTGGGTGTTGTGTGGTCGCATGACCACAGACGTTGTTTCTGGGTTCCATGGATGTTGCTGAGAGGCCACAGCATAAACAGTTTACTCAGCAGCCAGCTTTGAAACAGTCATAAAACCTTGAAAGATATAAGGGAATTCTTGGTAGTATTTCTGCAACATCGTGCAAGTCTGAAATTATTTCAGAACAAGAAGTTGAAAAATCACTTTAGGGGAGACTTACATTTAATTTTGTACACGAAAGGAAGACTACACGAATTGTTTATACTTCACTGTTACCTCTCAGTGTCAGTCTCCACTGATGTGTCAGTTCCACATCAAATGTGACTCGGCAGAGGTGCTGAGACATGGCCACCGTCGTGTCTTACAGGCAGCCGGCTAAGGGACACACGTTCTTGAGGTCTGAGCAGTTCTTCAAACAACCTTTATAAATTCATTAAGTTATCCAAGGGCCCTAACACTTGAAAAGGTGAGTTTTGTTGTTGTTGCTGAAATGGGTTGAGGCCTGAAGCGCTGAATAAACACAAGGCAGGGAAAGTGCCCCCAGCCCAGAGGCACCCACGACTCCAGGAGGCCACCATCGTAATCCTCAGATGCGGAAAAACTATAACCCCTCTTGACTGCCAACATCTGCTTCACATCAGCAGGGATGGAAAGAAAACAGAAGTTGCCCAGCCTGGTTTAGGCCTATTAAGCAAAGAAATGGGAGGCACCCCAAAGCCATGTTCTTTAGAAAAAATTTTTTATTGTTGCAACTAAAATGCAAACCCATCATTTATATGGCAAGTTGGAAAACTGTACAGTTTGACAGTTCTGTGAGGTCACAGAAGACCCTGAGACGCGCCCCCCCGCCCCCCCATCATGCATCCATGTATACACACACCTGAAAAGGTATCATACCAAAACACCTCGCTTTTTTTTGTTTGTTTTTATTTTTGTAAAAATGGTTTATTCTATGGCCATCGTAAAAAATAATGACCTGATGAGTAAATATTGGCTTAAGGCATATAGCAGAGCAGCTCGCTACTTCTCTAACATACGTGTGACAAGATGGAGAACCATCTGTTTTCCAAGGATAGGAGGTTAAACCAGTATATCCATTTTGAAATGCTACTATATATACACACCAAACTACTACATACATATACAGGACTTAAAATAACAAACAAGCCCAACTCAAAAATGCTTACAGCCTGGCACCTCAGTCTTATCCACACCTCACCAAGGCTCTGCGGGGCGATGCCTCAAATGTTCCCACCACAGACTTTCTCTGCACGAGCTTCTAACACGTGAAAGGCAAAATGTGAAAATGCTGGCAGAAGAGCAGCCCGTGAGCTATAGCTGCCTTTTTTTTTTCTTGTTAAAAAAGCCACTTAACGTGGAGGTCTTAAGTTCCCCTCGCAGGAAGAGTCATGAGCACCATCAGTCCCCAGGGTTCAAGGGCAGGGCAGACGCCTCTCTCAGCAAGGCCCCCGGACCTGAAGGGCCACAGGCTGGCTCGAAGGGACCGTCGTCCAGGCTGTTTCAAGAAGTGTGGTTTCCAACAGTCGCCTTGGTTCCAGATCACGGTCCGCTCAAGAAGAGTGTGAACTTGGCACAGTGGAGGCTGACCCCAAAGGTGTGTGTGTCGTGGGGGACCTGCCTGTCTAAGTGTCCAGAGCGCGAGGTGTGACTATGGCTTCCCACACCCTTGGAATGTCTGAGTTACAGTGGGGCCCAGCTGGACCAGGACAGGCTGGGCCTCACTAGAAGTCACCAGAGTGTCATGCCAGGAATTGGGCAAATATGTTACTGGACATCATTCCGCTGCCGAATGGCAATGATTTCAGCAACGGTCTTAGGAACCAGAGCCACGTAATGCTCAGCTCATGCAAAGGTAGACTGGACTTGTACACGGAGCGCATCAGTAAGCAGAGATCTAAGGATTTCAAGCACGTGGTATTTGATCGGGACACAAGAAGACCGTACGTGCATCCTAATACACACAGGGAGAGTGGTGACCGAGATCGAGGTTCGAACAGACAACTGGGGAGGGGAGGAACCGGGACAAAGTAATCTCACGCCATGTGTCTTAAATAGCCAAGTGTTCATTATATATTATCCCCTTGTTCTATAAACATAGGCAAACCTCTTCTCGTGTTACCCAATGAAATCACGACTGCTTACAACCGTCCTCCTTCCTAGTACTGGTCTGACGCAGCAGGCTCACGGCAAAGTCCTCCGTTCCCAGCGCTACCTGAGGGTTTATTATTGTACTTTTTGATAAAGCCCTTGGTGCAAGGCTGACATCAAAAAACGTTAACACATTATTGGTTTATGAAGATGCTAGTGCACTGTGGATGCCTTCAGGAGAAAAGAATTAAAAAATAAATATGGAGTGGAGAGGCTCACTACACGCCGTCTCCAGGGAGGGCTGCGGGAAGGATGTCGCTTGCCGCCTGCCAGGGACGCGCCGAGGGGGCACCATGTGAGGCTCGCCCCTCCACCCGCACAGGCTGCCTTGCTCTGCGCCACCAGCCCAGCGCCCTCTGTGCCCTCTTCAAAAAATGGGTTGTGGGTCTGGTATTCAGAGGAAGGCGAAGGAGAGAAAAGTAGCAGGATGGAGGTGAGGCCAACCGCCCGGGGAGGGGGGCTTTAGTGCAGAACCGACGTCCGTCGGGGCGCGGAGGGCTACGCTGTCCAACGGCCCTCGCCTACGGCGGCTGCCTGCTAGGCGGCTGCGGGCTCTACGGGCAGGGGCGGACCGTGGGTGGAGGCAGGTCAGATTGTGTGTGGCTGTCGAGCAGGAACTAGGATGAAACCAAACGCTTTCAGAGGAGCCCGGCCCTGCCCCCACAGAGCTGCGGACTCGTGCAACACCTCGGCCGCCCGGGCCACTCCAGCCCCCGTGAAGGGGGTTTTGGTTATTATTATTATTTTTTACAACAGCTCCCCCTTCCCAAAATCACCCCCGAGGAAAAAGCTGTCTGCACGTTGCTAAACCATCGGATGCGCTCAAAGGTGGTTGCTTAGAAAGAGGTAAAATATTTAAAATCATTAAAAGAAAAAACAGAAGTCTCGTGAGGTGATTTCCACGACCAGAGATTTGAGGCTAATCCTCACTCTTCTCCGTAACTTTAACGGCAACACATTCTAACGTGTGGATTTCTACTGAAATGGCATTTATATTCCAAGCAAAGTGGAAACTGCTCCTTCTGGATCTCAATGGCTGGGTGAAAAGCCGGTGGCCACCCTGTGGTGACCTCTGACCCTGAGGCAGGGGCCCTGAGGAACCCTGTTTATGGGGATGGAGCAATGGGGGCAGGACGTGCGCAAGACGGCTGTAACGCGAGGGGGCCGGTGGAGGAGCGGACAACGGGAAGCCAGCGGGACACCCTGAGCAAAAGCAGAAGCCGGGTTCTGTTTTCTAGAGACGGCCTTTTGTTGTTTTTCTTCTTAAAACGGGAAAGCTCGCAGGCACTGTCCCGGCTCAGTGCGCGCTCAGCAGAGGAAGCGCCTGAGCGAGACGATGTCCAAAACCCTCAAACCCTCTCCTCCAAAGGACTTTACATTCGCAAAAGTGTGGGAGTCTTTCCCTGGGAAATCAAATAAAAATTGTGTATCTGGTTACACCACCTAAGGGTACAAGAAAGTTTCGTAAGTGCCTAGTCTTTTTTTTTTTCCCAGAAATAACAAAAAGCTGCTTTTTATAAAGGTTAAAAACAACAATGTGTTGTAATTCTATTACTTTTTTTTCAAAAACAAATGAACAAAAAAAGAAAAAAGAAAAAAGAGAGAGAGACGTATTTGGCATTTTGTCTACTTACTCCTGAATAGGTTAAGGCCCTGAGATTAGACTCTTCTATTCTTGGGACCACAGGGCTCCTTAAGACCCCGGTGCATCAATCCTCAATTCTCTCTCGTTAGCCCTTCACAGTCCCAGACTTTGAAAACCTTTGATCTGTTTCTTCTGAGGCTGGCTCAGAGGCTCCCGCAGCACTGAGCGCTACCGCCGGGCTGGCGGCCAGGGCTTGCTGTACACGCGGTCTGGCCAGCACGTCCGTCAGTGAAAACATACCCTGTAGCAGAGGTACGCGCCGGCTGTGAGGACCGTGGCCACGCACACGTTGACCAGGAAGGGCTTCCAGTGAGTCGGCGCCTGGTCCTTCTCCTCCTTGGGTGGCGATGGCTCCCCCTGGGCGGGACCTGCCCCCGCGACCCGCCTCCGGACTTCAGTGTCTTGACTCGCGCTGAGGAATGAGGGGGGCAGAGGGGGGCAGAGTCGGGTTACTCACTCGGGAAAACAATGGCAAGGATGCTATTACTCCCGGAGGAATTCTAGGAAAAAATGAGCCACGTGGAAGCAGAGCCTGCTGATGCTGGAACTGGCCGGAGGCCCGCCTGTCACCGCCTCCCTCCCAGCGCCCGACAGCAGGGCCAGGGTGGGGTTCCGGAGACCCGCGGACTCCTCAGTGACGGGGCTGGGTAAGGGTCTGAGGGGCAGTACAGCCCCTGGGGCCGCTTGTAGAATGTTCCCCTTCAGATCAGGGAAGGTAACAGTGTGGCCACAGGCTTCCCTTCCACTCCCTCCCCGGGGCCTGACAGACGTGGACACACAGAGGCCTTTGCTGCTGCTGACATGCGGACACCACACATCTGCAGTGCTGACCCTCTGCCCTCCCCGCTGCACGCCCAGCCAGTCCTGCCAGCAGGCCCACTTCCCAGGTGTCCCGTGTGCAGTC